GTCTGAAGAGCCTGGTAGGAAGGAAAAAGCTAGAACGTTAAAGGGCAAGACTGTAAAAAGAAACTAGATGAAGGGAACTCATGACTTCCTACTCTTACCTTCTGAATCTTCCTCATTTTTCTCTGCATCTTCATCTGCAGACTGCTCAGGGTTCTGCATTGAGGGAAATCAGAGAATTAAGGATGCCTACCATAAGTCAGGAATGGTGATGCACACCTATAATTCCAGCACTCAGGAGGCAGAGGCAGACAGATTTCTGAGTTCAAGGCCAGCCTGGTCTACCCAGTGAGTTCCTGGAGAGTTAGAGCTACACAGTGAAACATCCAAAAATATCTGCTAAATATAGCCAACTCTCCTTCTCAAACCTGCTTGTTATGGTTCTTCCTCTAGTCATGCTATCATGTACTAGTACTCTTTGGGGTTTTATCATAGGATCATTTTCCTAGTTTGAAAAGTTAGCCTCTAGTTGACTCACCTGCTTGTAGTTTGTGATATGTGACTCAAAATCTCGGTTGTATTTTCGGATCTTCTGGCGCAAGGTACTCAGAGCCTTGGCATTGTTCTTATTCATCTTCTTTTTTCCTTCTTTATCTTCCCATAGCTAATACAGTATGAAAGGAAGAACTGTGATCCAAGACTAAGTGGCATTTTCCAAAACTCAAGCTTTATAATTACCTTTTGGGGGTCTCAATATCTAGACACCATCCAAACTACCTAGCAACTAAGACTGTAACTTTTTATTTGCAATGCTGGGGATTGAACCAAGGCAAGTGCCATACAATCTCCAAACCCTAACTTAACTTTTCGAAGACCCTTAATACAAAACCTTAAGTAAAAGGTGATTAAAAACAGAAAATACAAGCTGGGCAGTGGTGGTGCACCCTCTCAATCCCAGCACTCAAGAGGCAGAGGTAGGTAGATATCTGAATGCAAGGTCAGCCTGATCTACAGAGTGAGTTCCAGGGCAGCCAGGCCTACAAAGAGAAACCCTGACTTGGAAAAACAAAACAGCCCATAAAAATAATCAAGCTCTTTTCTAGGGAACACTATATAATAAGGCAAGGAACCCGAGGAGAACCCTGGCTACAGGAGCACTGCCAGGCCCACACCCCCTTCTGTATCCTCAAGAGTCACACCTCATTAAGATAGTCCTCCAGGTCAGCCAGTATTCGGATATAGAATCGGGGGACACCTTCCTTATCCACAATACTCTTGGCTTTCCCATATGCTTTCCCCAGAAGCTCAAACTCTTCTAGACACTTGGTGACATCTCGAATCTTCATGGCATTACGGATGGTCCGAATAAGGTTGGTCAGCTCTTCAAACCTGGGAGATGGGGGAATTCAATACCAGGTTGGTTGTGTCTATCATGAAGAAAGTAACATCATCACTCCCTTATCACCCAGTCTCCAGTGGCCTCACCTCTTGTCCTTGGCACTTCTGACCACTCTCTTGGTATCTTCCTCATCTTCACTCAGTAACAAAGGCCTGTATGGAAGAAACAGACCATTAGCCTTCATTCTTATTGTGACTCCTCAGATGAAGCAGGTAAAGGCCTGGGGCAGCCATTCCATCCTTTTTTCTGATGTTTTTCTTCATACTCATCTTAACAGCCACAACTTTGAATATGGCCTTTTGTTAAACCCTGACAGTATAAACAAGGGTGTCTCCCAAAACAAACAACCGAAGAGCTTATTTACTATATGAAACAACTAATTACATAATGGCACATATGGCTATAGAAGTACCTAAGAAAGAAACAGAGAAAAGGCCCTTCGACTAACAAATGGAAAAGCTGCTGCAACCTGAACTGGTTCCTAAAAACATTTCCCAAAATAAGAAAAGTTTTAGTGAATTCCGAGGTTGTGGTGGCACATAACCACATAATACTCAGGAGGCAGAGGTAGGTGGACCTGAGTTCAAGGCCAGCCTGGTCTACAGAATGAGTTACAGGACATTCCAGGGTTATACAGGGAAGGAAACTCTGTTCGAGGAAACAGGGAGGGAGGGAGGGAGGGGAGGGAGGAAAGAGAGAGAGAGAGAGAGAGGAAGGAAGGGACAAACAAACAAACTGTGATGTAGCAATAGCTAAGAGGTCAAGATCATTGACTGTTCTTCCAAAGGTCCTGAGTTCAATTCCCAGCAATCACACAGCATCTATAATGAGATCTGATGCCCTATTGTTCTGTACAAGCAACCATGCAGACAGAACAATGTATATACAATAAACAAATAAATAAACCTTTAAAAAAAAGTTTTAGTGAATTTTAACACCCCTTTGCTTGAATTTCTTTTTAATGTGATGGCCCAAAGCATTTGGTTAGCAACAGTTAATTTTTTAAAAAATTTCCCCGATAATTTTTTATACAAATGATGGTTTTTCATTTTGGACAGTGTTATGGAATTGTGTGTATGTGTGTGTTATGTGTAGTATTATATCTTATATAATATATATATTCTCATCTATAATTCTCTGTCTCTGTGGAAGAACATATAATATTAAAATATTAATATTAGTTTTTAGAACTGTTTCAGAATTTAAAATATTTTAGCCTGCATGGATGGAAAGACAGTTAAAAAAAAAAAAAGGTGAACACAGCAGTCCTTCCGGTGGAGGTCAGCATTGCCTTGGGCTCCCCTTCACTCCAAGCCCTGCCCAGTGTCAGAAACCCTGACAAAGGCATCTCCTCCCCTGGACATGCTCCAGACCCTGCTTAGATATTTAAATGGCCTCTTAAGGAAAAGCTACATGACTTTCAAGTTCCTTCCCCCAGTCTCTTCTCTGGCCGCTGGGAGACCATCCTGGAGAGTTTACTTATTGAATCTGAATTTTTAATTCTTAATTTGGCTTGGTTTTATTGGCTGCGTCGGTGGAGAGAATATCGTGGTACACAAATCTTTCAGTAGTGATTAACAATTTGCAGGCAGAGCCAAAGGACTCCAGAGCCACACCAGACCAGACACTATCAAGCATTGAATGTTTCCTTCCATGAATACAGAAACGTCACTGAGGGCGGTTTGGTGCGAAGAGGTCTGTGCGACGCGTATAGGGAGAAGAGGGACACGGGAGAGGAAATGTGGGGAAGGAACCTGAAGCTGCAGGATTCTGATACAATACCAAGCAGCGAGAAACCTCCGATCCTCGGTCTTAGTACCACGTCGAGGACTCCCAAATTAGCTGCCTTCCTCAGACACCCCCAGCCCACTCGGTCCCCTCGCGAACTGCCAAACCCGTTCTCTACGCGCTGCCAGCTCACCGTCTACCGTAGTTCCCCGAGACGGGTTTGGTGTCCAGCTCCTCCCCGGACAAGGATGACTCGGACTCACTGTCCGAACCGGTGGTGAAAAACCGCGACATGGCGACGGCGCTTAAGGGCTGAGGCGCGCGCGGCTGGAACCTGAGGAAAACCGCGGCGTCAGAGCTTGGGGACAACCGCGTTCCGACCCCAACCCCGTCCCCTTTTCCCGCCTGCACACCCTCCCCTTGTCCTACACCGACCACCAGGAGCAAAAAACACAAACCAGCTGAGCTCCGGAGTCACGCAGCAGAGGCAAGATAGCCGCGACGCCGGAAGAGGAAATGGCTAATGCGTCAGTTCCGGGAAGCGCCAAAGAACGCGCTAAATAACTACAATTCCCAGTGGTCTTTGCGCCATCCGGGGCCAGGGACAAATTTGTTGTAGAGGTTTTGAGTTGCTATTTCCCAGGAGTGCCACAATTAGGCTGCAAGACTGAGAAGATAGGCTATGCTGACCTCCTAATGGTGCACGTCTGTAATCCCCAGACTAAGGAGGCTGAAGCAGTAAGATCTAAGGTTCGTGGCCAGACTCAGAAAAATGCTCTGGCTGTCTATCTGAAGTTCAGATGACCTCAAGATGATCGATCAACCTGATCTTCTGCCTCAACTTCCCTAGAGGGGGCTGTGCCTCTGTGTCCAGTTAAATGCACATCTATCTTTATGTTCTTTTCCTACCTTCCCGTCCTTTCTTTTCTTTCTTTCTTTTTTTTTTTTAAGACAAGGTCTTTGTAGCCTTGGCTGGTGTCATGAGTGCCATTTACTTCTAGCTATTGTTGAACCAGGATCATACCGTTTTTAAAATTATTTTATTTTGGCTTTTTAAAAGACAGTGCCTGGCTGTCCTGGAACTCACTCTGTAGACCAAACTGGCCTGGAACTCACAGAGATATGCCTTCCTCTGCCTCCAGATTGCTGAAAGTAAAGGTGTGCACCACCACTGCCTGGCTAATTTAATTAATTTTAAGAAAGATCTCATGTAGGCCAAATTGGCCTTGGCTTTCTATGTAGCAGAAAACCACAAACTCCTGATCCTTCTGCCTCTACCTCTTAAGTGCTGGGATTATAGACATCAGCACACCTTGGTACTTTCATTGTTTTCTAGGAATAAAACAGAGGGCCTTGAGCATCCTAGGCAAGTGCACTATCATTGAACTATATATAGCCTTAGTCCTCAGAATCCCACTCCATATCCCAGGTCAGTGACAAGTTTCTATTCTCCTGCCTTCCAAGTGGTGGGGTTACTGTTGTGTGCCACAACACCTGTTCTGAAATGCTTTGTACATTCATAAACATATATTCCAAAGTGGGCTAACATAATTTTTCAGTTTCAAATAGACTGCACTGTTGTGGAATATTTATGTATACTGTGTGAAGATATATTATTGTGACTGGTTGAATAGAGAGCTGAATGGTCAAAAGCTAGGTAGGAAAGAATAGGCAGGATTTCCAGGAAGAGAGAGAATGCTAGGAAGAAAGCAGAGACACCAGGAATACATACAAATTGGACACACAGTACAGAGGAGAGGTACCCAAACCACATGATAGGAGGTAGATATAGAAGCAGGTCGATTGAGTTGTAAGAGCTAGTAGGGACAAAACCTAAGCTAAGGCCAAGCTTTCATAGTAAGGCTCCCTGTCATTACTTGGGGGCTGGGGATTCAAAGGTAGTCTGACAATAAAGTTTGCTACACTGCACAAAAGGTAAATTAATAAAATAAGCATTTATTAGAAGAGCATAAGGCTGAGGGAAAACTCCCAGAGACCAGCTCAGGAGTGGGAAACAATGGAGGCTTCTTGCTGAAGTAGGGCAGGACAGTAGCTCTTTCCACTCCCCAGCCTAGCTAGGAAGGTCTGTAGCAGAGCTTACAGATGTGAGCTCATCTGCCTGCAAGTCAGTGTATCCTGAGCAACCCATGTCAAGGGAGATGGCAGAGGAAGTCATGCAGAGGTAAGGCCAGGACCCCTGACATGGAGATTCCCAAGGTGTCAGAGATACAGGCAGCCTCCATGGCAAACTCTCGGTGTTTGTCACTGGTCTAGGAGAGCAAAGAACAAGGGTTAGGCTTTCCACAAGACTCTTGAGGCCACCCACAGCCCATGCCCAACTGACACAGACCTCCAGTGCAATGTTGTGGAAGGTATTCACATAGGCAGCTCCGCCCAGGAACCCTTCATACAGAATGATGATGAAAATAAGATAGATGCTGGGCAGGAAGCTCAAATATACGTCTGCCAGTAGGAAGGCCAGGTTGAGGCACTGTGGGCAGAAGGAAGTGGAGGCTTGAGACTGGGCAACAGCACAGCATGGAGGTAGCATGTCTCAAAGTTGCTGTAGGAGACACTGGGGGAGGAAAGGACTAACAGGCCTGGGTAGGATTCTAATGTCCAGCTGGGCCTGCAAGACCCTGAAATCTTGGTGGTCCGTTCTCATCCCAACACCTTGTAGGTTCCTCCCCTTCCTTTGCTCCCATAATTTCTAGTCTGGAATGCTCCTCAAGCATCCCTCACTGGTGATCTCTCAACTTGGATCCGAGTCATTCCCACCTGTGGTTATTGGCATTATTGGCCATCTCATTTCCTTCTTCTTCTTTTTTTTTTTTTTCTTGATGGCATGAACCATACCTAGACTGCCCTGTCCTCCTGCAGATCTAAGTTAGAACCTTGTGCTTCACAGGCAAATACTCTACCAGAGTCTTATCTTCAGAACTCCAGAGCTCCCCTGAACATCCTCTATTCTTCCCTAACTACTGGGCTGAGATCAATGAGTCATTTAACAATAGGACTCCCTATCTGTCTCACTGTATCTAGCCAGGGATAATGCTAACACCCACAATGTATAAGACAGCAACACAACATAATTATCAGGCTATAATGTCAAGACCACAAAAAATTGGAAATATGGCTCAGCGATTAATAGCATTTGCTGTTGTTGCAGAGGACCTGGGTTTGGTTCCCAGCACCCACATGGTGGCACACAACTATCTGTAATTCCAGTTCCAAAGGACTTGACACCGTTTCTGGCCTCCACAAATGCCAGGCACACAGGTGGCTTACATATACACATTCAGGCAAACATTCATATACATTAAAAAAAAAAAAAAAAAAGAGGGCCAGGAGTGGTGGAGTATGCCTTTAATCCCAGCACTCCAGAGGTAGAGACAGGCAGATCTCTCTCTTTTATCTTATGCCTTGTCTACATAATGCATTCCATACCAGTCAAGGATACATTGAGACCTAGTTTCAAAAAGTCAAAAAATGTTAAGAGTACTGGAGTTGAGAAACCAGTTTTCATGTTCTCATTTGAAGAACGATCCCCCACTTGAAGATGCCATCCCTCCTCTGTCCCAGGTTCTTCAGGAGTGTTCTGCTATTCCAGGACACTGTGTGACCTCCCTCCAGTGTGGGTCACCATCTGATGACGCATAGGCTCCACACACAAAGAATTAACTGGAGATGTGTTAGCCAGGGACCAGGAAGGCCTCCTCTTTCTAACGTTATCACTGAGTCAGTCTGGGACAGCTCAGAGATCTGCATAAGGACACACTATGGTGATAGAGATGCAAGGGGCAGAGCTGCAGACCTGCACCTGTGGCTTGAAGCCTGATACTATGGGCAATGGTAGGGATTCAGGAATCAGGCCACGCCTCAGACTGTAACCTGACACTTCCAGCAAGATCCAGAATCTCCACTTACAAATGGCTGACAACCATTGACTTAGCCTTGGGCTAATAGCACTGATCAGCTCAACAGCAGGTTCAGAGGCTATAGGCTGTTGTCTGAACTTCAGAATATAATTTATATTTCTGAATTTCACCATACAATTAAGTTCTTTTTTTTTTTTTACATTAAAAACTTATTGTATTTATTTGGTGTATATGTACACTTCTGCACATGCTGAAACACTTTGCACCCCCCCAACCCTTTTACTGTTTTTATTTTTGTTTTTTTAAGACAGAATTTCTTGATGCAGCCCTGGCTTTCCTGGGACTCACTTTTAGACCAGGCTGGCCTTGAACTCACTGAGATCTGCCTGTCTCTGCCTCCTGAGTGCTGGAATTAAAGTTGTGTGCTACCACTGCCCAGCACATTTTTTTTTGTTTGTTTTTGTTTTTGAGTGTACAAGTGTGTGTGTGTGTGTGTGTGTGTGTGTGTGTGTGTGTGTCAGTGCACATGTTTGTGGAAATCAGAGAATTTTCAGTAGTTGATTATCTCCTTCCACCATGTAGATTCCAAGGATTGAATTTAGGTGGCTAGGCGTGGTGGCAAGCACCTCTAGCTGGGGAGCCATCTCTTTAGTACCATGAATTGAGTTTTTCAATGTCAAGGGTAAAGTACTTTACTGTAATGCAGGGAATGGATCCCTTCATACTTGGGAACAGAAGTGTTTTGTTTTAGAACTTTGGAATATTTGCACATACATAATGATAGATCTTGGATAGGAGCCAAGTCTAACTGTGAAATTCATTTTTCATGCATACTCTATACATGTGACTCTATATATGCAGTAATTTTTCTCATGAACATGGTGTGCAATTTGGATTTGTGATGTCATACAAGTTAGTATTTTGCATTTCAGATGTTTACATTAGGGATGCTGAACCTGTAGTCAGAGATTTAAAAGTCACTTTAGGGCTGTAGATCTCTAGATGAATGCTGGTGTGTGAGGTTCCTCTTGGGAGACTGCTACAAAAAGCCCTGTTTACTAAGAACCACAGATCTCTGTTTGCCAAGGGCAGCTGAATTTGCTCCCAGCAATTATTCACTGATGAAAAACACTCACTTGACTAAAATGCCACTGATTCTATTCTAAATAACCTAACATGAAAGAAACCCGGGTTTCCTTGTATGTAAGAACAGTATGCCTCCATCTGATTTGAAAATATGTCTCTTTGCATAAAGTGTTGGCAAATCATCATGAAATACATTTTGATTGATTAAAATGTGATACAAGCCAAGTATAGGGGCATAAATCTGAAATCCCAGCACTCTGGAAACAAAAGCAGGAGGATCATCAAGTTCAAGATCAGCCTGGGCAACAATGAGACCCTGCATTAAAAAAATAAAACATGGGAGCTTGGAGAGATGGCTTAATGGTTAAGGACTCTGGCTGCTTTTCCAAAAGACCTGGGTTCAGTTCTCAGCACCCACAGTTCACAATCATCTGTAACTCTAGTTTCAGAAGATCCCATGCCCTTTTCTGGCTTTTGTGGACATTATATGCATGTGGTACATAGACACACATGCAGGGAAAAACAAAACAAAACAAAACCACCCATACACATAGAAACTCAAAGTAACAAAGCCTACAAACCCCAAAAACCCAGTAGAAGGAGGAGAGACAGCTAAAAGTTGTTCTCTGGCTTCTATATTCAGGTCAGTATATGCATACCCTTCATTACACACACACAACACATAGTAAAAATACATAAACATCCCCTTATTACAAAGAAAGAAAGAAAGAAAGGAAGGAAGGAAGGAAGGAAGGAAGGAAGGAAGGAAGGAAGGAAGGAAGAAAGAAAAAGTACACATTTTAAATCCCAGCCCCAGTGCTTGGGAGGTAGAGGCAGGAAGATCTCTATGAGTTCGCCAGCCTGGTCTACATAGTGAGTTCCAGGACAGTCAAGGCTGTTACACAGAGAAACCTTGTCTCAAAAAACAAACAAAATCCCCCAAACAAACAAACACAAAAAGATTTGCCTCCAAATAAAAGGCTTGGACTGACATAACTCACTGGGTAAAAACATTTGCTCCCCAGCCTGATGATCCCTAAGACCCACAAGTGGAAGAGGACCGATTCTCCAGGTTTTGCTGACCTCCACACACACTACTTGGCAAGTCCCTTCTCCCCCAACAAATGAATAAATATCTAATTACAACTTTCTAAGTTGTAAAAGTAAATAAGTAACAAGTTTGAAGGTTTAAGAAATACCTCAGTAAGAGCACTGACCTAGCATGCACAAAGCCCCAGGTTCAATCACAAGAACCATAGAAACAAGCAAACAGCAAAAGGCCAGGCATGATGGGCCAAGCATTTAATGCCAGCATCAGTGAAGCAGATCTAAGAGCTCCAGGCCAGCCTGGTTTATATATTGGATTCCAGGCCAACCAGAGTAACACAATGAGATCCTGTCTCAAAAACAAAGAAGAAAAAAATTAAATGAAGCAAGCAACAAATAAAACCAAAATAACCCCCCCCCCAAAAAGAAAAATCTGACTCTTCCATTTTTTCCTCAATGTTGTTGTACAAACAGCATAAGAAATAGTTCTTTGCCCACGTCTATTAGATATTTTAAGTTTTACAGTACCAGAAATGGAACTCATAGCCTTAAACAGGCTAGGCAAACACTCTGCCACTGAGGTACACATCCTGCCCCACCACATCTGGTCTCTCCCTGGGGAAGCTGAGGCTCATCAGAGGTTCAGACTGAGTCACACAGCTATTCAGTACAGAAACTGGTATTTGCCCATAAGTCTGACCAGCTTCTGATGCCACCACACATTTTATGTGGAGCCCTGATGCTGTTTAGTGCTATACTTAGAAATGCTAGAGTATACTACTATCTTCTACTGAGTGAGGGGTGCTGGGAGAGTGGAAGAACAGGGCAGGGCAGTACCTGCAGCAGGGCTAGGACCCAGGTGAAACGGATTCGGCAGCAGTGGAGAGAAGAGCGGGAAACGAACACGCCAGCCTGGTATAGCATCTGGTACCTGAGGTAGAGGCAGGGAGGATGAGGAAGCTCCTCTGGGTGCCTATGGGTTAACCCTAGGTCCCCAACATTGAAGAGTCCTTCTAGCCCACAGCCCACCTGCCAACTTCTCTCACCATCGGTACTGCTGAGCGTGACTCAGGGATGTGTTCCGGAAAAAGAGGAGCTCAAACTGCAGCAAAGACCACACAAGTGGAGATTTGTAGAGTCCTATTTCTCCTCCCTCACCCCCTTCCCAGCACCCCTCACTCACAAGTCCCTGGTTGATGAAATACTCGGCAAAGTATACCAGCACCAAGGGGATGATATATCGCAAGAGGCCCTGGAAGAGTGGAAGAGGTAAGTGGAAAGCAGGAGGCAGAGGCTCCTCACAGGGCGCTCACAGTCATCCAAACCTTGAACACTGTCCACCTTTCTTGGAACGATAGGTCCCAGCTGGATCCTAGAGAGCAGGGAGAAAGGGGGAGGAAGTTGCACACTGAATGCTTAGCTGGATGGCATCATGCAGCAAGCATCCAGCCATCACAACAGCATGTTTGTATTTAAATGGTGCTGGTTGCACACTTAATAGTGGCTAAAAGGATAAATTTCATACTATGTACACACACACTGATTTTAAAAGAGGAGCAGACTGTAGATCAGTGTACAGCTTTTCTCTGCTGACCCCATTCCAAACTCTTTGGCCGTGCTTTCTGTTTCTAAAATAGTCAGACTCTTTTCTGTCACAAGGCCTCAGCCAGAGCTGTTTTCTAAGCCTGGATGGAACATGTTCACCTAGTCATCCACAAGGATGTCTTCAGACAGCCAAGTTCCAGCCCAAAGATGTCCTTCAAAAAGCCTTCTTGGGCTCACCCCACCCCCCACTACCACCCAGTAATAAACTTTGTTGTTTTTTTCTTTTTGGTTTTTTGAGGCAGGGTTTCTCTGTATTGCTTTGGAGCCTGTCCTGGAACTCGCTCTGTAAACCAGGCCCACCTCAAACTCACAGAGATCAACCTCCCTCTGCCTCCCCAGTGCTGGGACTAAAGGCATACGCCACCAATGCCTGGCTTGTTGTTACGAGCACTGGCTGCTCTTCCAGTGAACAGCAGTTCAATTCCCAGCACCCACATGGCAGCTTACAACTAAAGGGATCTAACACCCCAACAGACATAATGCAGGCAAAACACCAATGCACATAAAAATAAACACAAATAAATCATTAAATAAATAAAGAAAGAAAGGCTTTCTCAGAGATGGAGGGATGGCTAGGAGCACTTGCTGCTGGCAAGTTCTAAGAGGGTTATTTTCCATTTTATTTTATTTCTTTTTCTTTTTTCTTTTCTTTTTTCTTTTTCTTTTTTTTAATAGAGTCTCATTCAGGGTAGTGGTAAATCACACCTTTAATCCCAGCACTTAGGAGGCAGAGGCAAGTGGATCTTTGAATTCGGGTCCAGCCTGGTCTACAGAGCAAGTTCTAGGACAGCCAGGGCCACACAGAGAAACCCTGTCTTGAAACAAATAATTAAGGAAAAAAAAAAAAAAAAAAAGAGAAAGAAAAATGAAAAAAGAGCACTTGCTGCTCCATCCTGAGAACTAGAATTGGCATCCAACATCATACATCAATAACGTCAGGGGGCTCAGTGCTGCCTGTAACTGCAGCTCCAAGGGATCTGATGCTCTCTTCTGGCCTTTGCTGGCCCACAACACATCCATACTATAAATTCACAGGAACACATACACATAAATAAACATCAATATAAATCTTAGCTAGGTATGTGTGGTGGTGCAAGCCTTTAATCCCAGTGCTTGGGAAAGAGGCAGGTGGATCTATGAATTTGAGGCCATTCTGGTCTACAGATTGAGTTCTAGGCCAGGTTCTTTGAGACAGGGTTCCTCTGTATAGTCCTGCTTGTCCTGGAACTTGCACTGTAGACCAGAGCTGACCTTAAAAAAAAAAAAAAACAACAACAAACAAAAACTTAAAACAACCCTCTTAGAACCTTCTGTAAAGCAGAGAGCCCTTATCACCCCCTGGTCTCCTTAACTGTCATTTTCTGGGTGTGTGTGTGTGTGTGTGTGTGTGTGTGTGTGTGTGTGGTGTGTGTGGTGTGTGTGTGTGTGTGGTGTGTGTGTGTGTGTGGTGTGTGTGTGGTGTGTGTGTGGTGTGTGTGTGTGGTGTGTGTGTGTGTGTGGTGTGTGTGTGTGTGTGTGTGTGTGGTGTGTGTGTGTGTTCCTTTCTTCTTTTTTTTTTGAAGCAGGGTCTTACTATCTAGGCCTGGCTGGTCTGGAACTCCTATATAGACCAGGGGGTGCCTTTAACTCATAGGGATTTTCTTGTGCATGCCTCCCAAGTGCTGGAATTAAAGTTGTGCACCACCACTTTGGGCTCTATATTATTTTATGTTCTGTGAAAATGTTCTCATTTCTTCACCTTAAATACAACTGGTCTCGTCAATTGGAATGTCTGGCATGTGGTCAGTAAGTATACATGACTGCTTCCACCCAAAGCTGTACACCCAGTCTCAACTGTGTCCACTGCTGAGACCAAAACCCCAAGGGGAAAGTGACCTTGGGAGGGCCTTTGTCTCCTACCTGGCTTTGACTCTGGGGTCTCAGTGCTTATGAGTGGCTGCCGGGCAGCAGTCTCTGCTTCGTCTTCCCCTCCAGGGTCCTGGGGTTCAGGAGATGTGAGCAACAAGAAATAGCTGGAATGGAACAGAAAAGCAACAGTCAGTGTGAGCTCTTTTCCAACAGAAAGGCCACACCCTTCCAGGGGTTCCAACAGCCTTTAAGGTAGCCAACCCTGTGCTATGAAAGCTTCAAATGCTGACAAATGCATCCTTTGGAACCCAACTCTGGCTCTTTGTTTCTACCCAGGGACCTCACTTGACTGGGTCCACAGCAGCAGCAGCTCAATTCCATTTCTTTGTTCCCATTATCCAACAACTGCTCTAGTACCACTTCTCATATAGTTATTGTTTTACAGTAATTTTTATTAAGTGTGTTCCTTGGTATTTTTATACATATGTCTGCTGCACTCTGGTTTCTCTCACTCCACCCTCTCCTGTTCTTCCCACGCCTGTGACCTCTCCCACCTCACAGGTTCCTTTCTCACATTCAAGTCTGTGTGTGTGTGTGACTCACTGAGTTTAACCAGAGCCTGTATGATCATGGCCTTTATTCCTGTATTTAGCTTTTCTGAGACATGGTCTCACTATGTGGGCCTGGATGGCCTGAAGCTTGACATGTAGATCAGGTGGCCTCAAACTCACAGACATCACTTGCCTATGCTGCCTCAGTGCTGGGATTAAAGGCATTTGCCATCATATCCAATTATCAATGTTTATTTTTTGAGCCAGGGTTTCCAACACGTGATCCCCCTGCTTCAGCCTCCCAAGTGTTAGGACTGTAAGCGTTCACACTACACACATCCTGACTTCTTTTTCCTATATGGCTTTGTCCTTGGAACAGGCCCCCAGACCTCAGCATGACTGATTCTATGATGGAAGTGCCATTCAGGCTATAAAACTCAGCACACAGACAGCACCACCTGCCAAAACTAAAACAATGACATAATCCATCAAATTCATAGTTCTGGGAAAGTCTCTAAATGTACTAACCTCAGTTTTTAGCTTGTGTAGTTTTGCTTCTGGCTAACTGTTCTTGTTAACTGAAGTATGTCAGCCCAAACCATAGTTTCTGTGCTTAAAAGTTCGCCCAGAGAAAGGCTCTGTGCTACACTGGGATCAGGAACTCCCAGTGTAGTTGTCAGCAGGCTAATAAATACTTTTTATTGACTTAAACCCATGTCTGAGCAGTGCTGGTGACACCCCACAGCAGTCTTGAGCTATAATATGAAGTTACAGGTTTAACTGGCTAGTTAATTCTCTCTCTCTCTCTCTTCTTTCTTTTGGGGGTGGAGTGGGGGGGGTGTGGGCAGGGTCTCGCTATATAACTCTGGCTGTCCTGGGATTCATTATGTAGTCCAGGCTGGCCTCAAACTCAGAGAGATGCACTTGCCTCTGCCTCCTGAGTGCTGGGTTTAAAGGTGTGAGCCACCACTCCTGGCCTAGCAACGTTTTCTACTACACACAGACAACACACCGAGTGTACTCAGTCCCAGTCCAGTCTCAGACCCTCGCTGTGCTGATGCTTCCCATTCATCATCTGACATCTGACACGAAAGGACAGCCACTATGATGCTATAGAGACAACTGAGGGTTGGGAGTGAAGCTGTCCAGAGCCAACACATGCCCACTCTGGTACTCAAACTGAGGGCTGTCCAGAGTCCAGAATCCATACAAAGCTGAAGAGATCTGAAGATTGGATCAGGACCAAGTTCCTTTCCTCCTCCCATAGTTTAGTCCTTTGGGCCCAAGGACACTCACCTGGCCAGCAGCAGAACAGGGATTCCCAACATAGAAAGCAGGGTGTGCTGAGGGGAAAGGCCAGCCTGGGTGAACCCCAGGTAAGACAGCGATCCAAAAAGCCCTGCACCCCCAGTACCTGAGGACCACCAGGAGATCACAGCGCTGAGGAGAACAGGGGAGCAGTTAGGAAGGTGGGAACCAGCAGGGGGCACACCTCTCCCCTTCCTTCCTGACCAGCCTGCTTACCTGGGGTAGGAGGCAGTGAGTGAGAGGAAGGTGACCTCTCCTAGACCTGATGAGATGCTGGCCAAAACCACTCCTGGGGTGAAGAAAAGCACATGGTGGCCTTAACTGAAAGTCACAGTCTCCTATGGTGTTGGATTACAGCCTCATCTCTCCCATCAGCTCAGTGGGCAAAAAACAGATCTGTCACTGAACAGATTGGAAGGCTCATCTGAAAGAGCCACACTCTCCTCCACATGTCTTCTCTGAGACTGTACCCATCCATCCTCATCCTCCCAATTATTCAACCCTGCTCAACCCAATCTATACTCAAGTCCATCCATCTCTTTCTATTAATACCTCCAAATTGTGTCTGGAGCCCACTCTGTTTGGTGAATTCTAGCAGGTTTGTTTTTGAGACAAGGTTTCAGTATATAGTCCAGGCTGGCCTGGAACTCTCCTTGTTTTTTGAGACAGGATTTTGCTGTGCAGCTTAAGGTAGCCTTGAACTCACTATGTGGCCCAGACTAACCTCAAATTCACAATCCTGTCTCTCAAGTATTAGAATTACAAGAGTGTGTGTGTATCTGTATCCCGAACAAACATCACTAGTAGTTGCCTGGGGATACAAACACATCCTTTTACTCTGGGAATCTGGGGAGACTACCCCCCACAGCACACTGTGGAGGCTTCTCCAGCCCATCCACTTCACATAGCTGCATACTCACCACACAGGCTTAACCCCACTGAGTGAGAAAAGGCAACCAGGATAAAGCTTCCAGCAGAACAAACTCCACTGACAAGGACCCGGGGACTGAGAAGAGATGAGAGGAACGTAGAAGGTCACCTCCATACGAGCCTCACCAGCCCCTGGCTATCTCCCCTCTCTGCTTTCCTCCTGCCACCCTGACTCAGACCTGTAGGGCAGCAAATGAAGGCCAAGAGGAGCCAGGAGTTTGATGATAAGGGTGGGAAGGATGTCTGCCAGAAGCACCGCCTGAGACAGGAGAACACAGTAAGAGGCTGGACCCTCCCAGAGATTACCTTCTCAACCCAGTGTGGAGCCAGCCAGTGAACCTGTAGCAACTTCGGGCTCTGGAGTTAAGACAGATCTGGGTTTACTCCCAGCTTTCCCAGCTCTGGGCTCCTCTGATGGGTGTGAAGGCATTTACATGCTCTGAGCTTCAGATTCCTCATCCCCAAAGGGGAAGCGTGCAGTGCCTTGTTCACAAAGCACACTACCATGAAGGTTACCCGAGCTGCTATTTACCACTCACAGAAAGGACACAGTCCCAGTCTTTTCTCTCTCTCTCTCTCTTTTTTCCAAGAAGGATTTCTCTGTGTAGCCCTGGCTGTTCTGGAACTCACACTGTAGACTAGGCTGGCTTTGAACTCACAGAGATCCACCTGCCTCTGCCTCCCAAGTGCTGGGATTAAAAGTGTGCACCATCACTGCCTGGTGTGTGCCACCACCGCCTGGCATCAGTGGCAATCTTGGTCATTGTAATCTTGACTGGGTACAGAGGGAATGAAGGTACAAAGGCTTGGATCTTGGGGATCTCAGCTGGGTACTCACAGCTGTGGAGATGGAGTTGCAGTCAAATCGAGATGAACTGTTAGGCGTGGGTGTTGGGCCTGGCTCCACCTATGGGACAGAAGAAAATCTTTCCTATGAGGAGGCAAGAGGTTAAATAAACAAGGCCCAATCCCAGCTCTGCCCTAGGTTGACAGATAACTTTGGATAGGCATGGGCTTCTTGGGGCCTTAGTATTTTTATGTGCACAAAGAAGGATAGTTTTTATAAACATCTCAAACTATTGGCCCAGAGGCCAATGAAACCCCCCCACAAGATGGACATAACATTTAAGAGCATTCATACAGAAATCTGGGTTTCTGGAAAATCTCATCTTGGGCCAAATTCCCTACTGAACCTGCAAAGTGGAGGCTGCTCCTCTTAGAGTATGCATTTTCTAGACCATTGTGACAAGAAGTTCTGCACAGGGGATGACTTTACATGCCAGCAACATCTGTAACATCTGGAGACATTCTTGGCTGTCATTTTTGGTTGTTAGTGGATAGAAGCATGGGATGCTACTAAACACCTACAATGTGTAGGACAAACTCACAACAGTCACCTAGCCCTAATTGTCAACAGAGCCCAGGTGACAAAACATGCCACAAAAACAAGGGCTTACACAGCCAGTTGTTTGAGTTCCCCAGCCTGGTACCGGTTGCTCTCTTCAGGATCCCTCCTGCCCTGATGCATGGGAGACTAAGGACTCCCTGCATCCCTTGGCCCACCCCTGGCTACTTCACGAGTTTTTCAGGGGACCTCTGGCCCTGGGTGAGTCCCTAGTAGTCCCATAGGAACTAATCACATAGTGGTGGTGGAAAGGGACTCACTTACATGACTCTGGTTCCCAGATGCCTGCTCTTGCTTAAGGATGTCATGGGCAGCGCTCAGCATCACCACATAGGAGAAATTGTTGCAAAGACCCAGGATCCTAGAATGAGGAGAGATCTTCATTTCCCAGCTTTCTCCCTTACCTGTACCATTCAAATGCCAACCTTTATTTTTCTCTCTCCAACATCAGAGTCAGGGTTAGAAATACAGGCTTTGAGATTAGACCAGCTCTTGGCTAGTCTCCAAGGCCTCTCCCAGGAAGATATCTGACTATTCTTTCTTCTATGCTGGCACTAAGATTCAGTTCTGGGGGCTTTCTCATCCAATACTGTACAACAGAAGTACCCAGGACTTGAAACCCAAGTTAGTTGCTTCTTATTTTTGTGACCTTAGTGAATTCCTATGTAAAATGGAGGCAAGTTCTCACCTGACCTCAAGAGTTCTAGAAGAATCAAAATAATACCAGGGCTCCTTTTGATCCATAAAGCATATTGTTCTTATTGTCATCTCCCAGAGCTGTGCTCAGGGCTAGGTAAAAGCAAATGGACTGTGGACATAGCTCACAGGTAAAGCGCTCCAAGAGCACCCGGAAGGCCCTGCTTTCAATACCCTGCACTGCAAAGAAAAACAATGGGGAGCTGGGCATGGTGCTACAGGCCTGTAGTGGAAGGCAAGGGCAGGAGGATTAGAAATTCAAGGCAAGCCTCCACTGCCCATAGAGTTTAAAGCTTGCCTGAGATACAAAAACAAAAAACAAACAAACAAAAACAAAACAAAGTTGCAACTGAGTTGGTTAGAGCAAAACATTTAATAACTCTACAGATGGTGAGAGGCTCTGATCAATATGTGATGGTGGTAATTTAATGGAATTCTGAAAGCTCACCGGTGGCCAAGGGTAAACCAGTCAGACTCAGTATTTGTGGATTCAATAGCTTTTCTCAGCTTGACTCTCACACTTTTTGTTTCAGTCGCACTTCTGCAAAACTCTCAGACTACTTACCAGAAGCCCACCGCATTCTTCCACTGGGCACTCTGGCCATCCAACGGAGGAGGGGCTTGGGGCTCTGAGTCGGTCTCTTCCCCTGGAACGAAGAGAAGGCATGACCCACCACTCATTCCAGTCCGCCACGGCCCGGTTGCTGTGTATTCTGTTGCGGGGGCCGGGCCAGTTTCCGAGCTCCTCAGGAGCGTTGCGGGGCACTCAAAAGCCAACTAACAAGAGCACTCACTCTCGGAATCCTCAAGGCGCCTCCACGAGCCCGCAGAGCTTCCCATAGCATCGAGTTCGGGTCCTCCAAAGGGCCCAGAGTCAGCGTGTGTTCAGAGTTGGCTTCAATAAGGGTCTGGGACAGGTGGGTGTGAAGGATCAACGCCCCGGGGTCAGTCCCAGGTCCGGCTGTCTGCTACACGGGGACCGTCCATCAACAGATCCGCGGATTCCCACCTCGTGTCCACCCACGCCCCACCCGTCGACCCCGCCTCCGGCCCCTCTAAAGCAAAGCCCCCGCCCCCTCGGGCCTGTACCTTTAAGAGCAACTGAGCTCTCCACAAGGTAAAGTAGCAGGTTGGAGGGTCACGTGTCAGTGTCAGTGCCTCTCCCATCACGTGGTTAGAAGTTGCCCCCCCCAGACTTCCGGGTCCTGTTTTCGCCTTCGGTCTTCCCAAACTTGGGGGAGTCAGAAAAGGGCAAGAATTCTGGAAGAGCTGGTTTTGAACTGGAACGGTGGGAGCCACAGATGGAACCATGAAAAGCGGCACTCTAGAAGCCGCCAAATATGCCAGTACTAGTCATGGCGCGAGAGGCTTCAGCTTCTTTCCTGCTGCCCTCACTTGCCTGAAACAAATATGGCTACTTTCTTACTTCTGTCCCGCGACTCACCCAACTCCCCAAGGACTAGTTCTGCTTGGGAGCAAAGGCTACCACCAGCCCCAGGTCCTTCTTATCTGTTGTCCTTACAGTTGTAAAGAACTAAAATAAGCAAATTCAGAGTAGAACAATTGCCTAGAAAGTGAAAAGATAACACCCACCAAACAGGTTTCCATGAATTAACTGTGGCAACATTCAAGGCGTTAAGAAATTCCCTTTGCCATATTATCCTACAACCAACAAATATCACGAAAGTAGTACAACCCCTGGTTTTACAAATGAGAAAACCAAGGTCCCCTTCCTCCAGTGTTAATCCTGCATTCGACCTATAGGTGAATTTAGAGACACAGCAGTAAGAAATAGAGCAGAGGTGCTGAGTTCACTGAGCAAGAATTTTTCCTGTTCTGTGATGTCAGCCAGTTGTCCTCATTGGAATTAGGAAATAGAGGCTGGAAGAGCAGTTGGAATACATCGCATCACAATCACACAGTCCCAAATAAAGTCCTTCCTTACCTTCCTCTTGGTGGTAGGGCAGCGTCTTGATCATCCTTCATCAAGCACGTTCCTCTGTTGTGGCTTCTAGTAGCCTGTGCCCACTTCTACCAGCTCTTTTCAACCACCGGTCATTAAGAGTACTGTTTGAAATATGCCTTGCTATGGTGTTCTTCCTAGATCACTCAACCAATGACAAAAGGGATCCTACTACCCATGCAGGGCTCTAGAAATTCTGCAGCCTCTGTTCTCAAGGAACTCACAGAAGGCTGTGAGTGACAAACAGCCTCAGTACAAGAGTAACCGCAGGGGAGGAGGACAGGGGCATAGGAGGCAGCAATCCAGGCTTTCCATCCCCTCAGAGGCGTGCTAATGGCATGGGAGTGGGAAGCCAGAGCTCCCGCCAGCCTTACCCTCACCCCTACTGCTTCAGCCTAGATAAATCAGGAACCACAAACCCTAGCTTCCTCTCACTGAAGGCTGTGGCTTGGAGGAGACGGCAATGGCTGAGGTGTGAATGTAAGACCTGAGTCACTTGGCTGGCCTTGCCACATGCCCCCTCCCCCTTCCCCAATTCAGAGACTCCTGTTTTTTTTTCTTCCTAACTTGATCATCTGCCCTTTAGTTCCAGATGTGCACCTGAGCCTGAATCACCTGGACACAGTACAGCCATTTCCCTGCCTGTCATGAAGTAATCCATGAGTGTGGGGGAGGTGCACAGGGCCTGGGGTGGAGATACGTCAGGGAGGGACAGGGGAAGAGGAAGTGTCTTGGGTGCTGGGGAGGACTGGCTTGCCATAGTGGGTGGGGACGGATGGTCATTGTGAGCTTTCTGGACACACAGAGACCTACAGGATGGATTTTCTCCGGCTTCGCCTCCCTGGGCTCCATCAGGCCTTGAGGGGGGCACTGGTGAGAGGGGCAAAGAGATGCCTGAGGCATTCAGCCATTCCCTGGGGTGTCACCTTCCTCCCTTAGAGTCTCTCCTCAGGCTTGGGGTCTGTTTCCTGCAGTCAGCCAGACTCCTAGCCCATGTACTCCAGGCTAGGCCCTAGTTTGGTCCTTACAAAGATTTCCAATCCCAGATTTCTTACCTGGGTTTTTTTTGGAGTAGTGCCCCTAGGGAAAGGGCTAGACTTCCCCCAAATGTCTTCACTCTGCTTTCTTCTCTTCTAGGATTCCTTCAGTGCTTTTGTGTCCTACCTCATAGGAGATACAGTCCCCACAGTAGAGAGGGAGACACCGGCAGCTGAGGAACTGGGGGAAGTGGCTGCAGGGAAGGTTATAGAGGAGGAAGTCCAGGAGGCACTGCAGGGATTTAGAAGTGACCAGAGCAAAGGGGTAGGAGCACCTAGAGAGATCATAAGATGCCAAGAAGGAAGTTTAGCTGGTGAACAGGTCTGGGGGTGGAGAGCAGATAGCTCCCCGAGGCCCCAAGCAGAAAGGCAGGACACTGGGTTCAGGAAGGCAGCTGAGGGTGCCAAGGGCCAGGAGCCAAGTGCTCCACTGAAGCCTGAGGCAGGGCCTGGGACTCACAGAGACAGGAGCAGTAATAAGGCCCAGGAGACCTGGGAGCATGGTGAGCAGGAGGTGAGCAGTGGGGAGCCATTGGGAACCTGTGAACAGAAGGAAGGAAAAGAGGAGGTGGTCAGAGCAGCAAAGCCAGAGATGGCCAGGGGGGTGGAGTCACAGTCAGCCTGGCACAGGGAGCCTGAGGGCAGTGATGCTGATACTGACAGGCAGAATGTAACAGACAGCCAAGAGACAGACTGGGTGGCCTCAGAGGTAGTTATAGAAACTGAGGGGTTTGGGGCCAAAGGGGCTGAGAAGGAAGAAGAGAGGACGGTCCTGGCAAGGGGTGGCCAAAGTGCATGGGCGCAGGGGACACAAAACCCAGGGGCAGAATTTGAGGACTGGGCCATGCTGGGTAGAGAGGCCTGGACAGCCTCAGGCGCGGAGGAGGCTGATAGCCTAGGCATTCAGGACACAGAATATGGGCCAGATCCAGAAGAAAGCATCCCAGAAGCTACTGGGAGAGTCTGGGTGCTAGGAGAGGCTTGCAAGGGAGACCAGCAGGATGAGATCAATGAGAAGAAAGAGGCTGACGTTAGACTTCAGACCCAGATCCTGGAGACAGAGAGAACCAAAGAAATGACTGAAGGTCAGATAGCAGGGGAGGAGGCAGTGGGAGACCAGGAGACACGGGGCAGCTTTGAGGATGAGGAAAGGCAAGACTTAGCCACTGGGGATAAGAGGGTGAGTCTGGAAGAGGAGGGTCAGGCAGAAGAGTCCCCCAGGGAGAAAAGGAGCTGTGGGGCCACAGAGGCTGTGCTAGTCCTTGACAACGAGGCCAAAGGTGAGCCTGACTTGGAAGGATCAGCAGAAGCTAGACCTGAGGAATTGTTTATGGGAGAGAAGAGTGAGACAGCTCAGATGAGACAAGAGGTATTGAGATTAAAGGTCACGGAAGGACAGGACCCTGAGCTGATGAGAGGTTCCCAGATCTTGACTAAACAGCTAGAGGAAGGACAGAAGGATCAGAAAGAGACCAGCAGTGCTCTAGACCTGAGCCCAGAGGGAACGCTAAGCTTGAAGGACTGTCCCAAGATTGTGGGATTTGCAGGTCCTGAACTAGAAGCCAGGGGAAACAGGAGAATTGATGTGGACAGCACAAATATCCAGGAGATAAAAGCAGATGCCGAAGAAGCAGCCGAGGAAGAGATTGCAACAGGGCAGGCAATGGAGGTCCCGGCTGAAGGAGGCCAGGAATCCCAACAGCCAGAGGTCCCAGGGTGGAGAGCGGAGGTGGGACTGGTCTCCACAGCACTGAACCAGCAGCTGGAGGGAAGCCAAGGAGCGGAGACAGGAACAGGCCCCTCAAGGGGAGATTCTGAACCCACAGAAAACAAGGCTGATGAGGGGGAGGCTGCAGTGCCTTGGGAGGCAAACAGAATGTGCAGGAAGAGAAGGCTGGAGGAGGTGGCACTAAGCCGGCAGGACAATGAAGATACGCAGACCAGTCCTTCGGCTGCTGAGATTATCATGAGTATCAGGACTGTGAGGGCCGAGGAAGGTCCTGAATGGGAAACTGGGATGGCTCCAGAGAGGGAGTTTGGGAGAGCCTTGCATTCCAAAGGCAGAGAGGAGACTGAGGGAGGCACTGAGTTGGAAGAGGCTACAGAGAAGCAAAGTGGGCAGGAAATTGGCTCAGAGGGCTCAGCAGAAGAGAAGATGACTGGTTATGATGTCCAAGAAATTGGTGGGACTGGAGAGGGAGATCAGGAGGAGATGAAGACATCTGTAAAGGCAGAAGGAATGAGGGGAATGGATGGTGTGACTTTAGGCTCTCAGGCAGAGAGAGTTGAGGGATCTATAACCATCACGGAGACCAAGGGGACCCTAGGAGATCAGATGCTGTTGGAAGAAGAGGCTGGGAGAGAGCCATCAAGAGGGAGGAAGGCCCGCAACTCTGAGGGAGAGACACAAAAGCTATACGGTGTGGAGGCTGCCGTGGGAGAAGCACAGAGGACAGAGGTCCAGAGTGATCCAGAAGGTCTGGGGGACACCTCAGGCCAGGAGAAGCAGCAGATACAGCAAATCCCCACACTAGCTGTGCCTGGCTTCTCTGAATCGTCTGAGGCCACAGCAAGTGCCCCAGGGGAGGTACACAGCAGCTGGAATGAGGTGAGAGCTCCAGCAGGGCCCCAACAGGGACAAACAAAATCAGGAGATCAGCTCTCCACAGTCCTCTGTGTCCCTTGCTCTGCAGGCCCCGCTCCCTGGGTCCCTCCTGGATGTCTCTGTCCCTCGAAGTCGTGTGCTTCTCTCACGAAATTCCTCACAGCGGCGCTCAAGGCCCTCCCTGCGTCGAATCTCTGCTCCTGAGCCACAGTATGACCCTCCCAGTCCCCAACCCCAGGAGGCGCTGTTCCCTGAGCAGTCACCTCTTCAGCCGGAGGAAACCTCAGAGCTAAGTACCACAAAGCCTGAAGGGACTCCAATGCCAGCCAGGAGAAAAGTGCTGGGACAAGGGTAGGCACAGGGGCACTACACTTGGGATGGTGAGGAGGCTGTGGGCACCTGGGATCCAGCTCCCATGGCTCTGTTCCTTCCACAGGTTTGGCTTTGCCCATCCTGGCATGATGCAGGAGCTTCAAGCCCGACTGAGCCGGCCAAAACCACAGTGACAGGGCCTACAGCCCTTGCAAGACAGACCTCCTAAGGGAGGGTAAGAATGCTCTGCTGGACTCTGGTCATCCTACTGGAACACATCTTTTTCACTTTCCTGGCCTCAGCTACACCAGATGTTCATGAAGACCTTGAATCCAAGGAGCCTGATTTCCTAGTGTACATTGGTGGAACACCTGCCCCACTGACATCTGTCATGGGTCCCTGCCCTGGCCACTTTCCCGTCTGACTTGGCTACTCAGGAGACTACAAGGAAGACAGGGATGGGGAGACTCTTCTCCCCCAAAGCTTCCCTGTATGATCACCCTCCCCAAATACCCATCCTACTAGAGCCCCACAGAGAGTTGTGTAAGATAACACATCTCAGGTGGAAACCAGCCTGAAGGAAAGAAATTCAAGGGGCTGAAAGAGGACTGCCTGGAGCCAGTGGCCATGGACAGGAGACCAGTTGCTTTGATTTTCCAAAATAATAGCTCAACATCACAACTCTGCAGGTTGTTATGGTAACCTCCAGGCCAGAGTTGGGGAACGTTGCAGGAACTCCAAGAATACAGGAGTGCAGAGAGGTTCTGGGTAGGCGGAGGCTTCCGACTGTTCCCAAGCTGTCCTGCTTGTTGGGTGTCAGACACTCCTGAGAAGATGTGGAGGTACAAGGTGGGCCAGAGGGCTTTATTAGGCACCCAGCATGGTGGCCTAACTCAAGAATGAAACAATAAATAAACTGTCATTTCCTAAAAATAAATAAATATTCAAGAAATAAATATGTGGTGAGGACTGTTGGGCTTTTAAGTTATTGGGTCAGGGCTGGGGACTAGTGAAGCCCTGCCTGGTCTAAGGCAAATGGGCTAGAGACTGTCCTGTACTGCCGGCCAGGCTCCAGCCTTAGAGTCATAGTGGGTGTGGGAAGGGAGCTTAAAGGTCACTTCATAAGGCTGGAAGCTAGGTGTTAGGAACCCCAAGCTGGATCTGGGTGCTGGGGCATGGTCAGCAGCAGCAGGTCCCGAACAGATCGAGATAGGAACAGCTCCAAGGAGTGTAGGAGCTGGTAGGTATAGAGCAGCTGGGGCCAGGACACCTGGGATGACACCTGCTTGGGGCCATCCAGAGCCCCTAGGAGCAGCTCCTTCCCTACTACTTCCTCTTCCTCTTCCTCTTCTTCCTCCTCCTCAGAGCAGTTAAATCCTGCAGCCAGCACCTGTGAGGAAGACCCCTGGGTCATACAGTGTCACATCGAGAACTGGAGTTTTCATTCCTTCTGTTGCCCATTACCTCCTGATGACATCTGGGACCACAGGCCATGATTGCTCTGGACAGTCTCTACCTCAGACCTCTGGTGTCAGCGTCTCATGTCTTGTCTGAGTCTGGCATTGTTTCCTTTTCCTTTAAGATTATTTAGATTTGTTTTTATGTGTACCTGAGTATATATGTGTGTGATACATGTGTGTAGTGCTTGAGGAGATGAAAAGAGGCATCAGGTCTCCTGGAACTGGAGTTCAGGATGGTTGTGAGCCACCATGTGGATGCTGGGACTCAAACTAGGGTCCTTTGCAAGAGTAAACAGTGCTCTTAACTGCTGAGTTATCTCTCCAGTCAAAATTTTGTTTTACATTTTTAATGCTCTACTTATTTTTGTTTTATATGTATGAGCATTTTGCCTGCATGTGTGTATGTGCATTGCCTGCGTGACTGCTGTTCTTGGAGGCCAGAGGAGGGTGCTAGATGTCCTGAAACGGGCATGGTGGATGCTTGTGGGCATTTATCCTCTGCAAGGACAGCAAGTGCTCTCAATTGCTGTGCCATCTCTCCAGCCCTTTGTTTTTTGTGTTTGTTTGTTTTTGTAGAATCTTCCTATGTAACTCTAGCATGGCCTTGAATTCACAATCCTCCTGCCTCAGCCTGTCAAGTGTTTGGGACCACAGGAATACATCACTATATTTGGCTTACTAGATTTAAAAAAAAAAAAAAAAACAAAAGACAACTTTTACATTTATTTTATGTGTATGGCTATTTTCCCTGCATGTATGTCTGTGCACCACCTACATGCCTGGTGCCAAGGAGTACAGAGAAGGCATCAGATCCCCTGGAACTAATGGCTGTGAGCTGTGGTGTAAGTGCTGAGAGTTGGACCCAGGTCCTTTGGAAGAGTGGCCAATGCTGTTAACCACTGAGCCATCTCTCCAGGCCCCTTACCTAATTTTTTTTTTAATTAAAAAAAATGGCTATGGTAGAGCAAAGCACTACAAACAGGTTGGGGTTAATCCCCTGGGTTGCCCTGGGGGTCGCTGCTCAGGAAATCCCTCTCTGTTATTAAGAAATTTTTTTCAGGGTCAACGGGTGTGACATAATTACTTCCCACTCTTGCTTGCATTTTCTATTCTCCTTTCATTACGGTAAAATTTCTATTGCCCTCTGAAATGTCTAGGAGAATCTGAGTGATGTCAGAATTTCAGGAAGAAGAAAACAGATATTGGGCCCGATGATGACAGAGTCTGTCCCAGGTGACCCTGGATTCTTCTTTCCTTGGAGTTCAAGAAAAGTCAGAGACTTTGGGGTAGAGGCAGACTCTGATGCCACTACTCACACACAAGATCTGGACTGTCTCATTAGGCTTCCTCAGCCTGGTTCTCATGGGTGTTTAAAAAGAGAGCCAGGGAGCCCACTTTGCTTGTAGATCCCTGAGGACCAAGGGTGTAGTGGGCACTCTACCTGGAAGCGGAAGTGCCTGTGCAGGTCCCGGAGATCCAGTCTCATGGCCCACAGCTGCACCCTCTCTGTGCTGGTCCAGATCCCCTGGCTTCCCAGCCCTTCCAGCAGGGCAGGGAAGGGCCTAAGTGTGGTGGAAAGGAAGCAGAGCCTCTCTGGGTCCTATTGAAGGGAAGAGAATGGTCAAGAGATGCCTGCAGAACACCAGACCCAGCTCCATCTTTATGCGGGTCTCTTTTAATTCCAGCTTTCATTTCATCCTCAAATGTACTCTTTAAAAAATCTATTATGTTGGCACACGCCTTTAATCCCAGCACTTGGGAGGCAGAGGCAGGTAGATATATGAGTTTGAGGCCAGCATGGTCTACATAGTGAGTTCCAAGACAGCCAGAGCAAATAGTGACACCCTGTCTCAAAAACAAAACAAAGCAAAACAACAAAACATAATTATTACATTGTGTTTGTTTATAGCATGTGTGTATGTGTGAACATGCCAATGGAAGTCAGAGGACAACTTGTTGGAATTGGTTATCTCCTTCCACCATGTGGGTCCCGGGGATTGAACTCGGGTTATTAGACTTGACAGCAACTCCTTTATCTACTGAGACATCTTGCTGCATCTTGAATTGATTCTTGTGTTCCTTCACCATTGCTTTGAGCTCATTCCCATCTCCTTCTTAGCCCATACTCTTCTCTAGCTTCAACTCAGCTCCCTCCATCCACAGCCTCAATCCACTCCTTCCTTTGCCACTCTGTCTATCCTGTAAATCACATCCTGTTTCCAACATCTCTACCTACTTTCCTAGCTCTTTCCCACTCCTAACCCAACTCCCTCTGCAGTCTCAGATTCATTGTCTGCCCATTCCACCCACTTCTTCCATCCCCAGCCTAGGTTTCACCCACATCCACAACAGTCTTCTTAGCTCTGACCTGACCCCCAGCTCCTATCCCAGTGACCAGCCCATCATCTCTTTCCCACAGCTACCTCCATTCCCAATACCACTACAATCCCAACCCCACCTCTTCTCCCACCAGTCATTCTCATTATCTTCCTGCTCCCATTTTCAAATTCTGTATGCTTCACATGTCTCTTTGTTCCTCTTCTATCTCTCTCTCAAATGGAAGTCTTTGCCTCCCAAGTACTAGGATTATAGATGTGTGCCTCTATCCTCAGCTTCCAGCTTCACCTCTATATACAGAGGCATATTGACCACATAAACCTGCAGATCCATGTTTACTCAAGCCCTTGTCCATTTACCATCTCCCCACTCCTCGCCCTTCACTCACAGAGAGGTGACGCCATGCCTGGAAGGTCAGGGAAACATTGGGGAGATGGTGCCCCAGGGGTAGAAGGTCCAGGCTCACTCCTGGCAGTCGAGATTCAGCCTGAAGGGTAAGTTCTGTTAGTGGGACCCAGTGAGACTTGGGAGTGTCCCCACCTCCAGACCCGACTGCATTAGGGAGACTCACAAAGTTGTGGACGTAGCCCTGAGCCTCAGAGAGCAGCTTCCTGGCAAGGTACAGGCTCACTGTGAATTCCCTGCGTAGCTCCTGCAGGCTCAGGGGGCCTGTTGGGAACCCCCAGGCACCAGCTTGTACCAGAAGCAAGGGTAGCAACAGCAGGCTGAGCCCTGGAGAGAGGAGGAAAGGGGACAAGATAAAGGCCTGGAGAAGCCTGGAGAAGAGAACGAATCCATACGAGCACTGAATCTCTTTGACTGGTGTCTTCAAGCTGCCCCCTCAGAACCACCATTTGGACCATAGAGGTTGCCCTGTGCCATCTCTGCACAAGTGCCACTGTTGTAAGAAGACAAAGGTGGGATCTTGATACATACACCCCCACTAATTCCCTGGGTCAATCGCCTGCATGACTACATGCTGGAACTTTCTCTATTTTGCAGGGGAAAAGGATCCTGAGATTGGGTAAAGTGACTAGCCAAAGATAAATAGTGAGAGGGACAGGGAGGCAGGCTGGATTCCAGATCAGCCCAAACACAGCCTCTCCCCCCCCCCCCCCCCCCCCCGGCCAGGGAATTCAGATGAAGCAGCCACCTCCCCAGAAGTGGTGACACTGTTCTGCAAAGATTCCTTGGGCTCATCCAGGCTGCTCTGGTGCTTTGAACTGGCCAAGGGCTGTGGGGGAGACCAGGCAAAGCCAGTGGCTCTATTCCAGGGACCCAGATGGAATATGGTAAGGCCAAGGTGCACTGGAGCCCTTCTGGGGCAAATCAGCAACGTGTACTGGGAGGGACATGGGGTGGGGTGGCACAGATGAGAGGGAGGAGGCTAGCTTCCTAGTTCTCCCTTGAGCAGGTCACTCCTTACCTCTGTGTCCTAGGTCCCCAAGAGGGAAGCAGGGGCTCTGGGAAGAGGGCAGACTTCAGAAGTTTCTCTCTCAATCGGGAGTTAAGCAATTCCTCTCTAAACCCAAACCCAAACCATCCCCAAATCCACCCCCACTTCTGCTCCTCTCCAAGCCCTTTCTCTGTCCAGTCATAATCTCTAACCTGCCTCTAAGTGCCCTTGGTAGGTAGGCAGTGCCTGCGATCTTTGGCATTCAGGCTTCTTGGCTTTGGAACCATTCTGACTCTCTAGCACCCTAGAGACTAAAGCAAAACAGAATTCTTCCTAGCTTTAGGACGGTAACAGAGCTGTGCTAAGTCATACCTACCTACCACTTCTCTAAGTTCTGGACACTCCAAGACCCCTTTGTAGGGAACCCTGCCCTCACCTTCCAGCTCTTGGTCTTACCTAGTCCTGCCACTTGTGTCTCTTCCTACAGTTCTGTTCCTAGTTCTCAGTTACCAGCTGCAGACTGGACAACTTTCTGAGCTTCAGAGGGGCTGCTTCCTTGATCCCCATTACCAACCTCCCCCCCCAATGCTGTTCCTCTGACTGTCCTCAGTTCTCATCCCATCTTCATTTGTCTACTCCTAGCCAGATAGCTTAACCAGTTCTCCTTACACATCTCAGCCAAGCAGTCCCATCACTCGCCCAGCCTGGGTAAAACCTTAATTCCCCTGCTCTGGTCCCTGCTCACTTCCACCAGTCTCATTGCATGGTCAGCCAGCCATGACCATCAGCTTACCCATGTGTTGCCCCTCAGTCCGCTACCCCGACCCTACCTGTTAAACTCTCGAAGGCTCCACCAAACCTCCCACCCTTCTCCCAGTCCCAGCTTCCAACTCACGCCAGCCAAGGCCTCCTGTCGCCTGGCCCATGTCAGGGCCCAGCCTCTGTGTGCAGCCATCTCCTGGGTAGGGGGGTCTTATACTGGGGGCTGCACCCAGTTTCACTTTCTGTCCTGCTTGTACTTTCAGCTTTGTGCTCACAAAGTCTTCCCTTCTAAAATGGGGAAATGTAATTTCCCTTCCCAGAGGGGGAAGCATGGGGGTGGCGGGAAGCTAGGGTTTCAGCCCATCTGAGCTCCAGACCCACTGTTGGGCTCCCAGGTCTGGCCCTTTCCTCAGCTCCCCGCCTCTGGGGCTCTGTCCATTCACATAGTTCTGTCCACTGGTGGGACCCAAAAGACCCAACCTCCTCAAAGTTCTCTACTGTCACTAGCATCCAAGGGCCATGGCCAGTCCATTGTCCCGTGAATGACAGATGGCCAGGTAAGGGAATTACCCAAAAGAGGGGACTTGGTGGGGTTGACTCATCCATACCCTCATTTGGTTTACCAGATGGCTGAAGTGTGTGCGGGAAGTCATAGCTCCATAGTGAGGAATGAGTCTGTATGGTGCTGGCAGGGACTAGTTTGACGCACTTGAGAGCTGGCATTCAGGTGTCTGTGACCAAGTGTTAGGGCTGAAGAAGACCCATCTTGAGGCCATAGTACCATGTTCAGCTTTATTCAGACAATGGCTCAGTCTATAGACAGAGTTACATAGGCTTAGGGCTCAGTCCATATCAAGGGTCAGAACTTGGTCTAGGGCTGAACTCAGTGCCTCATCTAGGGCCAGTGTGTGTGCTCTGTGTTTGGGGCCAGAGCTATCAGTGAACCCTCTGCTTGTGGCTGGTCAGTGTTAGACTTAGGGCTTCATTGGTAGCCGAGTTGTGCAGCCTCTGACTGAGGCTATGACTCAGGTGAGGTGCAAGCTTAGGCTAGAGTAAGACCTTAGCCAATGACCAGAACTGAGGTGGAGCCTGTGGCCAGCTTGGGCTGTATGAGATTCCAGCCTCAGCCACCACCACCCAATGTTTCAGAACCATGAAGATCACAGTCAGGGATGGAGACTGACTACGGTGTCCCTTCTAGCACAATCCTGCTCTCAGCCACACCCTTGATTTCCCATCTTCTGAGAGAACATGGGGGTTTCTTGGTCTTCCCCAAACTCCCACTTTCCTTTTGGGACTTGTGGGGTTTCCCTACTGGGTTCCTGCTGTGAGACAGAAACCAAAGGGGCTTCCCCTTCGGGTACCCTACCTCCTCACTCTGCCTGAGCACTGCCCAGCTAAGGGTGCCTGAGACAGAGTGCCAGGGAGATACCAAGGCATGGAAGCTTTTAGAGAGCTGCAGGGAAGGAAAGGGAATCTGGACCAGAGCACTCTGGTCCAGTCAGGTTTCTGCTGTCATGCCCCCAGGAGCAGTAGCTCCTCCGCCCACTTCTGATGTGGGGTAGGGGGGACAACTGGAGGCTGATAAAGACAGAGGTTGGTCTGGTCTTGTGCACAGCACTCCACTCCCGACCACAGTCCTCGGTCCACTCTCAGTTCAGTCCACTGCCCTTCCCACCGTCTGTCCCACTCATGAGTAAACCTTCTGTCTGGTTACAGCCTTGCGGACCCCTGACCTTCCCTACCAGTCATCTGGCCTTCATCACTTCCCCTGATCGTCATTTGGAAGCATCCTCACCCATCAGAGTGCCAGAGCCCTGGACCTACTACTCCCTTTTGGTTTTCCTGGGGTCATGGCTCATCCCTTCCTAATACAAATCTTGTCTCAAGTGCATCTTTGCTTACTCTACGCTCATGTACATGCTTCTGCCACATTAGCCTCCTTGTTGCTTTTAGAACATCAGGTCCTCAGGGCCTTTGCACTTGCTGCTCTCCTACCTTTCTTCAGATATCTGACAGGTTCCCGATATACCTCCTGCCTCACCTTCTTCCATGACCCACACAATAAGTAAAATCTCCCTCCGGTGGGAGTTACACAATTCTCCTCGAAACCCAACCAAAACCATCCATCTGCATTTTCTATCCTTTCCCTGCTTTATTGTTGTTATTAATTATCATCATTAATTTTTTTATCGTGTGTGTGTGTGTGTGTGTGTGTGTGTGTGTGTGTGTGTGTGTCAAAATACACATGTGAAAGTCAGAGGAAAACTGTGGAGTCAGTTATCTTTTTCCACCATTAATCAGGTTTTAGGGATCCATTCTAGATCCTCAGGCTTGTATGACAAAGCTAGCCATCTTGCTAGTCCTCCATGCTTTATTTTTGAGCTTTGACAATCTATCTATCTATCTATCTATCTATCTATCTATCTATCTATCTATCATCTGTTGATATCTTGGTTTTGTAAGCCAAGCACGGAGGCACACACATTTAATCACAGTACTGGAGAACAGAGGCAGCCAGATTTCTATGAAGTTGATCTAGTCTGCAAGGACAGCCAAGGCTACAAAAGAGAAACCCTGTCTTAAAAACATACTAAAAACTTACAAAAAAAAAAAAAAAAAAAAAAAGATGAAGTCTCATTATGTAGCCCAGGCTGGCCTCAAACTTGAACTCTCCTGCTTCAGTGTCCCAAGTGCTGTGGCTTATGTTGGAGCGAGCAGGAAATGGAAGGGATGTGGTGAGAGGTGAGAAATGGAAACTAGGAAACCAGGGGTGTGGCTTCTAGTGTGTGACTTGCCAATCTTGGTTTCCTCATTGAGACTTGATAGCTAGTTTCAAAGTCAGCCACTGACACTACATAGAGAAATTAAAACCTAGAGCAAGAGTGAAAGGACTATCTGCCAAGTTTCTAGTTCTTTCCCACACCCTGTGTGCTCTCCAGAGCCTGGGGGAACCCTGAGCTTGGGGTCAGCATTTACTGATTTCAGCAGAGCCATGGGAAGGAAAGTCTTACTGGAGGCACATGGAGAGCAGTAACAGAACAGAGACCAGAACTCGGCTCCAGTGTTTCCAACTTGTGCTGTACTGGGGAATCCCTCGGTTATGTGATGTCAGTGCCAAAGCTGAGAACTAGCCCCATGGTGCCACCAAGGTGGCCTGTGAGGAAGGTAGGGAGGCCTGGAGTTGACCCTCACATGGTGGCTTCTGAGCCCAGGTGGAGAGCCTCTGATGGTTGCACAGCTCTTGTTCCTTCCAGCAGGAAGGTGGATGTGGCTGTGTCAGGCCACACTCCACCTGGGGGCTTTGCTTTGTTTTTTGTTTTTAAACATCTGTTTTATTTTCAATTATACGTATATGTGTGTGTCTATATTGAGTTTGTGTACAGCTTGTGGGTATCAACAGAAATTGAAGATATTCTATCCCCTGGAACCAGAGTTACAGGCAATTAATTGTACTAACACAGGTGCTGGAAGCTGAACTGAGGTCCTCTGAAAAATCATAAGCACCCCTAACTGCTGAGCCACCTCCTCAGCTCCCTCCCTCTTTTCAGACAGCATCTCACTGTGTAGCACAGACTGGCCTGGAGCATACTGTGTAGATCAAGTTGGCCTAGAACTCACAGTGATTAGCCTCTACTTAAAGGTACCATTATCCCAGGCTCTGCTGTCCCCTCCCCCATCACACATAGTTTAAAATAAATAAATAAAGGATTTTGCCATACAGCCCAGCTTGGAACTTTCCATCCTTCTGTTTTAGCCTCCCAAGTTTTGGGGTTCTAGGCACCTGTCACTATGCCTAGATAAAATTATTTTTTTTCTCCCAGGACCTTGAGTATGCTAAGCACACTCTACCATTGAGAGTCCTCCAGGAGAAACCCTACAGTGTTCACTCACAGAATGAGCAAGGGACTTCATTCTCCAGCTCTCTCCTGCCTACCATCTTGCACCTAAACAGACCTGCCCTTTTACAGGGAAAAATGAAGGCTTCACCTCTTGCCCTCCAAGGTTGTTGGTTCTATGACAACATGTTTAGGCACAGGATAATAGGCACATAGTGAATTCCAGGACAGCCAAGGATATATAGTGAGTGTTTCAAAGGAGGACTCCAGCTTAGACTCCTAGCAATAGCAGACATGTAGCCTAAACTGGCCATTTCCTGTGACCAGATTGGTGCCTGGCCCAATTGTCATCAGAGAGGCACCATTCAGCAACTGATGGAGGTAGATTTGGAGACCCACAGCCAAATATTAGGCAGAGTTAAGGAACCCTGTGGAGGAGGAGAAAGGAGTGTAGGAGTCAGAGGGGTCAAGGAAACCACAGAAAGGCTCACACAACCAACTAACCTGGGCTCAGAGGGGCTCTCAGAGACTGAACTGACAACCAGGAGCCTGCATAAGACTGACCTAGGCAGTCTGCATGTATTTTACAAATGTGTAGCTTGGTCTTCTTATGGGACTCCTAACAGCAGAAACAGGGGCTGCCACTGATCCTTTGGCTGTCATTTGGAACCCTGCTCCTCATACTAGGTGGCCTTGCCCAGCCTTAATACATGGGGAGGTGCATAGTCTAACTGCATCTTGATATGCCATGTTTAGATATTATGGGAGACCTGCCCTTCCCTGGATAGAGACAGAAGAGGTGGGAATTAGAGGTGGAAGTGGGGGAGGGGGAAAGAGACTGGGAGGGAAGGCTGTGCTGGGATGTAAAATAAATAGATGAGTAAAATAAAAAACAAAGCCTCTTGGAAGGAATCTGTCTGCAGAGACCGATAGACAGGTTGGAATCCAGTACTGTGGAGAGCTGAGAATGTCATCAGACAGCATCTTGGCCTTTATAAAAACTTATCTGCATCTCAGTGTATCTTGCCTGTCTAGTACACCCACCAATGTATTTTAAACCTGCCTTGATTTATGACTTTCTTTGTTCTCTAACACTATAAAATCCATGTGAAACTGCTTCCACATTGGAACATGGAATTTGGGGTAACCTAAGCCTGTGTTCAAGGGCCACCCACAGTCACTCATAGAGGCTCCATAAAAAACTGTCATATTCACTTTAAAAATAGAAAAAAATGATCTGGGTGTTGGTGGTGCACGCCTTTAATCCCAGGCTCCAAAACAATACAGAGAAACCCTGTCTTGAAAAAACAAACAAACAAACAAACAGACAGACAACAACAACAAAAGAAAAAAA